GTTAGTTGATTCTGTTCTGAAATTATATATATATATATATATATATATATATATATATATAGTTAGTTTAATATGTATATATACTTAGTTGTATTGATGTGAATTTGTGACCCTGGGTTTCACGCCCTTGTGATCATCACTTTGCCTGACAATCGCAAGGTGCGTGAAACCCAGGTCACAAATAAACAACTAAGTATGTTAGCTCTATCACTGATATGGAGCACTTTCCAATAATTACCACGCATATATAATATATAAATAATTTATGTAGTAATTACACACACACACACACACACACACATATATATATATATATATATATATATATATATATATATATAAAAGTGAACATTGAAGTCATGCTAGGCACAATCGTCAGGCCGCCTTATGATTGCATTCAGCATGAAACAGCCTGTCGCCTCTGAGTGTTGATTTCAATGTTCACTTTTATATTTAGATTTACATACGCTCTATCTCAGATATTGAGCACTTTATCACATAAATATAGCACACCTTAAAATTATATTTATATATATATATATATATATATATATATATATATATATATATATATATATAACCAAATGTAATGAGAACGAAAAGAATATAAATTCAAACGTTCATAACATTAATTTAAAAGAGGGTTCAATACAAAAAGTAAAGCAATAGTTATTTATTAAAAGTTATTACATTCGAACAAACAAGTAATCACTACAAAGATGCAGATTTCATTTGATGTCTAATATATGCATCTCCTGGAGATGCATATATTAGACATCGAAACGAATATGCTGTTGGAGTGGAGAAATTTTGAGGGGGGTATTGTCTATATAAACGAGAGTCCACCAGGTAGAAAAAAACATGATCACTGTAGTTATCGAAGAATCTGGAAAAAGATTTTTACTCTGCAGTGGACTACAATTAATTGATAAACTACTTTTGTCTTTGTTTCTTCCTGTTTCTTAATACTTTGCTTAGCTTTTGCAGGGCATGAGGATAATGTCCATGATTCGATGCCATATAGGAAGATTGATATTACATAGAAGTCTATCACTCCTTTCTTTGTTTCTAACGAAATCTTCCTGTTTCTTAATACTTTGTTTAGCTTTTGGAAGACATGAGGAGATTGTCCAGCATTCACTGCCATATAGGAGGATTGATATTAAATAGAAGTTCATCACTCTTTTCTTTCTTTCTAACGAAATCTTCCTGTTTCTTAATACTTTGTTTAGCTTTTGGAAGACATGAGGAGATTGTCCATCATTCACTGTCATATAGGAGGATTGATATTACATAGAAGTTCATCACTCCTTTCTTTGTTTCTAACGAAATCTTCCTGTTTCTTAATACTTTGTTTAGCTTTTGGAAGACATGAGGAGATTGTCCAGCATTCACTGCCATATAGGAGGATTGATATTAAATAGAAGTTCATCACTCTTTTCTTTCTTTCTAACGAAATCTTCCTGTTTCTTAATACTTTGTTTAGCTTTTGGAAGACATGAGGAGATTGTCCATCATTCACTGTCATATAGGAGGATTGATATTACATAGAAGTTCATCACTCTTTTCTTTCTTTCTAACGAAATCTTCCTGTTTCTTAATACTTTGTTTAGCTTTTTGGAAGACATGAGGAGATTGTCCAGCATTCTGCCATATAGGAGGATTGATATTATAGGTTCAGGATTGAGCTTTTGGAAGACATGAGGAGATTGTCCAGCATTCACTGCCATATAGGAGGATTTATAGAGGTTCATCACTCTTTTTCTTTCTTTCTAACGAAATCTTCCTGTTTCTTAATACTTTGTTTAGCTTTTGGAAGACATGAGGAGATTGTCCAGCATTCACTGCCATATAGGAGGATTGATATTACATAGAAGTTCATCACTCTTTTCTTTCTTTCTAACGAAATCTTCCTGTTTCTTAATAATTTGTTTAGCTTTTGGAAGACATGAGGAGATTGTCCAGCATTCACTGCCATATAGGAGGATTGATATTACATAGAAGTTCATCACTCTTTTCTTTGTTTCTAACGAAATCTTCCTGTTTCTTAATACTTTGTTTAGCTTTTTGGAAGACATGAGGAGATTGTCCAGCATTCACTGCCACATAGGAGGATTGATATTACATAGAAGTTCATCACTCTTTTTCTTTCTTTCTAACGAAATCTTCCTGTTTCGTAATACTTTGTTTAGCTTTTTGGAAGACATGAGGAGATTGTCCAGCATTCACTGCCATATATGAGGATTGATATTACATAGAAGTTCATCCTCTTTTCTTTCTTTTAACGAAATCTTCCTGTTTCTTAATAATTTGTTTAGCTTTTGGAAGACATGAGGAGATTGTCCAGCATTCACTGCCATATAGGA